GCTGGGGTGTCAATAGTCGAGGTTGGACATGCAGAGAGAAGGAGGATATTCGGTGAAGACGACCAGATCACCGCCAAAAAGGCAGCGGCTGCGAGCAGAAATGGCATGGCCCCGCTGATTTGCATCGGAGAGAAGGCGAGGGGAGATGTGCAAGTTGCACTTGATGAGTGCCAAACTCAAGTTGATCAAGCCTTGGCTGATATCCCTGATTCTGCGGAAGTCATCATCGCATACGAGCCGGTCTGGGCTATTGGTGCTGACCAACCTGCCAGCGAGGACCACGTCATCTCTGTGGTGAAAGGCATCAGATCATATGAGAGCATGAAGAAAAGGACAGGATCTACTAGAGTGATTTACGGTGGCAGTGCTGGACCCGGGCTATTTGAGAAGCTTGGAGAGGCTGTGGATGGCTTGTTCCTCGGCAGGTTCGGGCATGATGCTACTCGATTCATGAAGACGATATCAGAGGTCGCCAGCTTCAAAGCATGAGGTGGGGGGCATGCGATAATAAGGAGAAGATGACATGCTCCTATTAAACGAAAATTCGAAACATATTAAAGGCAAAATAAGCTCTCCGTGACTGTTCATCCCAATGCCGCTGGTCGTATTTAATAAGTCGTTATCGGCTGGAATGGTGTGTTCAAGACACGCCACGACTCAACCCCCCTGCTGCCCAGAAACCCGTGCCGCACTTTCCGTCGCCAACGCAGATGGAATTGTGATATTTGACATATTCATATGATACTCCTATTTTGACGTCGGACTCGGGTTTTCCCTGCGTTTGAAAACCGGTCTCGTGAGGCTGTTTCTCCACCTAACTAACGACTGGAGGGGTAGACGGCAATCGACGAGAGCACCTAAACGCCATCGGCACGGCGTTTTCAAGTAGGGTTCGTGAGGCTCATCGCAAGCGTTTTGGTAAACAATGCAGTCCGACCAAGTTGTGTACGCATTTGCGTTGAAGTGGTTTTGAGTAACCTATAAATCTTTTGTTCATGAAGTCGAGGCCTGCATCACAAAGACAATTGAGGAGGACTACTGCCAGTCCCAGATAAGTCTTGAAGGTAGGTATATTTTACTCAAAGCAAAATTTCAGCTTTCTACCGGAGACGCCGTCAATGCCACTGTTCCTTTCGGCACTAGACGTTGCATCTCAAAAGCCTCAGCGTCTCTGTCGGTGATACGACAAGTTACTTTTGCCATGTCAGAAATCCACCGCCACTTTGACGGCAGGGGAGGGCGTAAATGTGATGGATGATTCTCGACGTAGGTCAGATCTGATTCGGTCTTTCCCGCGGGGGAAAGGTATTTTTAACAGCAGCCGGGAGCGGCCGCCTACAGTGGGATCCCCAACGCTGAGAGTGCAGCGTGACTCTTTGTATTTAAACGGGCCTCTAGGTCGCTGTGAACAGAATGAGACGCGACTCTGCCGTCTCAATGAAGGCCCATGATGTCTCATCGGAAGATGACCGATCTCCGTCGCTGCATGACTAGTTCAGAGTAACCAAGTCGGACTTTGTGTCCTCGGCAGCTCAACTTACAACAGAGGACTTCAACTCGATGTCTCAGTGCATCTGTACCATTGGCCATGTCTCAATAATGATGCAGCCAGCGAATGGGCCACCAGCGTTGGATATCCATGAGTAGTCTCATGGCGGTCAGCAGAGAGTCAGACTCAATATATTAATCGCTCATGACGATGTTGTTCTGTGGGTACCTCCATACCTGTAGGTAAATGATCTCGATTTCAACTTTCAAGGCGCTAGCTTAGCCTTCCGACCTGTCAAAACACGGGATCAGCCTTGCGAGAGACACTTTTAGGGGGGAAAAGAACTGTGCCGGTTGCTCCAACATCCAATGCGCTCGATAGCAAGTTGACAACTGTTGCTTTTCAGTCTGTAATAATTCCAGGTGTTATTGGCAGCGGTGGTGATGCGTTGCAACCCACCACACACGGTGTTCATAGCCTCCCTGGGATACCCTGGCAATTAGAAAACGTGTTTGTAGCTGGCATTATGATTCGTTGCTTGGCTTAACTCCTCAACAATGGGCTTTTCTCGGTCCGTCTCAACCAGCGGGTGACATGCGCATCCTCTCTTCCGCATGCCGCGGGAATCGATTTTCAATTGCCGAACGTCTAATTGAGACTCAATCACACCTTTTCTACGTCCATCCCAGCTCTGTCACTGTCAAAGCTTTGCTAAGCATTGTGTTATTAGATGTTGTTATATCTTCCACGTGATGAACTTCTCGGCGATGAAGGATCAACCACGGCGCTGGATATTAAGTCAGCGGAATTTCGGCCTAGAGTTCAAGAGAAACGAATCAATCGCTCAACAAGACTATCCGACGGCAAATGATTTTCCCACCTCGTGATCAGTGGAGGAAGCCTTTTGACTCTTTTCGTCAGTTCGCCAAGTGATGGTGAAATGGAGTGCATGCGTGCCGTGTCGCAAAGACTATTTTTGTCTGAGCAAAGCAGATTCTACCCGCAACTTTGAGGGCGGGCCCGGTCGATTGATCCCTTTTTTGCGGTGTTGTCTCGATCCCTCTGCCGGCGTTGAAGTCGGCGTCGGTGGAGCCGGAATTGTGGTGGGTGCGCTCCGAGTCAATGACCTGGCTCAGCCCCATATTGGCATGCTTTAAAGCCGTGCTCCTTCATATAAAAAACGCGCTGAAAATGCAGATCAAATCTATGCTCCTGAGTCAAAATAATGAAAGGCTTATCTTTCGGTACATACGGTGACAGACTCACCTGACGTCACCTTAACTGGTAAACTTAGACATCGTCGTAGAGTACAAATCTCAATGAGCACCCAACCCCAGATTCTCATGAAGTGGTAGACAAGGAACCAGGCCTGACTCTCATTTACAATCGTCACTCTTTTTTTGCTTTTTGCGTTTTCAGTTATTGCCTTTTATTGCAATGGTATTCCGATCGTTTCTCACCGTCGGACTGCTGGTCGCTGCAGTCGCCGCCATCTCTCCAGACGACATCCTCGTGACCCGCCAGACGTTGGACTGCTCTCCAGACTCAGAGACGGGACTCAAGCCCGAATGCTGGGCGCAACTGAATGTAACCGACTACATCACGAAGTGGATTGTCGAAAACGGCACGAAGGCTGACTGCGATAACTTGGGCTTCGCCCAATGTTTTCTGGCCTTCAATGGATACGGCGGCCGAACGTGCGACACACTCACTCGAGACACTTGCGGGGCTTTCGAAACTGCTGGTGTTGCTGCCAACTACTACTCTCCTCAGCAATTTTACACTCTTTGGAACATCTACGCAATTTCGCAGTTCTTTAACCAGTTTTCAGAGGCCCTCTGGAACGGACATTCGCTCGCTGCCGACACAATCGGGGATATCGTTGCTACCGTTTCCCCGTCTACCGACCCACAGGTTCCGAGCACTCTATTGTGGACTTCCATCTCCGGCGGGTTTTGGATGGCCGCCGTCGGTGCTTTCGCGAACCCCCTTTTGGCTGGTGTTGCTACGGGCATGGCTGTTGTCACCGGCATGAGCTCGTTCTTCATGAGTTCGGTTTCCGGCTCTTCCAACTCTCGCTTCATTACGCTCGGCAAGATCGGTAGCGAGCTCGCCCAGCTTGTCATTGACTACCAAGGTAGCCTTGAGAACGCGCTGAAGGAGCTTCAGCACAACAGCACCCTCTTTATTGCTGCCACTGAGCCCGGTGGTTTCAGCCAACGTGCTGTCACCAGCTTGAACCTTCAAGCCACCGAGCTTTATCACGATCTACAACTTTTCGTCCTCTCACAGGCCCTAAAAGCGAACGGCATCGTCTCTGCCCGCTCAACTGATGTGAACGCGCTTGATTTTGCACCCCAGACGAACGGCCACATCTCATGCCCCGGACTTGGCCCCGCGGGCAACTGTTACCAATTCTGGATTGATCCCGACACGGGCAGCTCTTACGCACTCCACAACCCCAAGGAGTGGAAGAACGACTACGTCGATGTGTTGAACAAGATCCATGACAAGAGCTGGGCCAACCTGAGCGAGATCTTCAAGGTTGAAGACTGCCAAGGCAGAGACCCCAGCTTCGACGGCACCAGCAAGGTGACGTGCTTGGCATCGCATGGATGGTGCGAGTATGCCTACGACGGCCAAACTACCGTCACCGAGTCCAGGACAGCCAACAAGCAATTCACCAACTGCAACAACGATAAGTCATGGGGCACTCTCTGCGACTGGATGAACGGCGGCCTTGTCCTTCCTGTGTCTTATCTCGGACCTCTGCTGAAACTCGGTGAGCTAGCGTGGTGCAGAGAGTATTAAGGGGATTGCAGGTGCGAATGGAATGCAGTAATGGACTGCAAGCGCTGGCTCGTCCGTCGTCGATCGTGAATCCACCCACTGTCAATGTAAATAGTTATCTTCTTCATACAATGTACATGAACATCCCAGCCTCAGATCCTCCAAGTGTCCAATCCTGAACATATTTGAATGCACACCTGACATCTGACAGTGCCGGTGGGAGGATACGAATAACAGAAGCAAGTGGGGGTTTTCGCATTCACCCCGCACAATGTGAACGGGGTTGCCGAGATCGAGATAAAAACATCTTCGCATTCGCGTCCCGTGCTTTGACGGCCCCACATGGCGACATCCATTGAGAAAGTCGCGTGGTCGGAAAGTGTTGCACTGCAATTAGGCAGTGACAAGTGGACTGAATTGTCTAAAGTGCATGTACTGCGCCGCACCTAGATCCGTCACCGAGGCAGGATAAGCCGCCCGACACGTTGATCGATCTCATTCGCCAGCCTGATCATGATGGGAACGAGCAGACCATCCCCTTACTCCTTCCCTCTTTTTCCCTTCACATCTTTCAGTGCCTGAATCGCGACCGTGTTGATGGAGGTGACATCCTCCGTTGAATGCAAAGTGGGTGCGCGTGAAGGTCAATCGTAGCACCCAACCCAACAGGACCGCACCTTCGAGCATACGTCTATCTGTCAATCACGAAACCATACATGCCATGGCGGAGGTGCTCGGAACAGTCGTTGGAGTTGTTTCCCTCGTCATCCAAGTGAGCTCGGCTATCAGTGCATACATCGAAGGAGTCCAGTGCCGCAAAGAGGAAGTTGAATCAACCATTCGGTATCGGAGATCATTTCAATTGCTTTTAACCCAGATCGGTACGCTCAAAGATAATCTTCCGACGTCGTCCGTTCCAAGCACAATAGCCCTGGATGGAGCGCTGAAAGCTGCCGGTGCCCAAATATTACAGCTTGATTCATTCATGGGCAAGGTTCTAGTTCAGGACTCGTCTTCATCATCTGAGACGCCAGCCAGCCACAAGTTCCGCGATCAGAAGAAACAGCTATTTTACCCTTTCCGCAGGGACCAGTTGATTTCACTGGACAAGAGACTCCAAGCAATAAACATTGCCCTTCAGTCAGCGATGCAAGTAATGGAGTTGTATGAAACCTGTGGTCAATTAACATTGTCACTGCTAACACAACACAGGGAAATATCAATGGCCACGCAAGTCTCCGTCCGCCAAATTCACGAAGAGACATCAATGGCAAACACGATGCTGCTCAATATCAAGACTGACTTCGCCCGGAGTATTCAGCAAAACAGAAGCCATGATCTGGCGATTCAGAACGACATGGACGAGCTGAAGTCTACAGTAGAAGCGCTGGCATCTTCGAACTCTGACACTTTGTTGACCATACAGAGATTGATATCAAAGCCGGATGTGCTTAGAACCGTCTGGTCAAGAACCATCGACGTTAAACCGAATCGCCCACTGTTTCAAAAGAATACATCTTCTGACGGTAAAGTAGATGACGAAGCAGAGGACGTCTATACGAGCTTTCACTGTAATTGCGATACTCGACGCCGCCTGAATCGTAAGGTTTGGCGGTCTGGGCCAACCCTTCTGGTGAAAGAGGTAGTCGACAAAAGGCCTCATGTCCCTGGATGTCCATTAAGTGTCTGCATTGATGGGCAAAATAAATGGACCGCCGGGGTCTCTACAGGCCTGTTTCGAGGGCTCGTTTCAGTAGCGGTAACCATCACGACTTCCACTATTCTTGGTACGGGTGGCTTCTCGATATCGCCGTCATTTACGTATTTCTCTATACGAAATACCAGTCCTGCTCGAGAAGCCATCCATGTGCTCGGTCAAGCTTTCAATGAGAGGAAGTGGAGCGGAAGGAATTCCCATAGCCTGATGCGGCGTGCCATCAAGACCATCCAGGCCAGCTTCAGCTCCAGGACTTCATCACCGTTTGACATGGACAGCAACGGGAGGACGTTACTACATGATGTGCTGATGATACAAGTCAACACTAATTCGAAAATGCCGCGAAACGAGATTTTGAAGTTTTTGGCCATGGCTGGTGTCCCGCGGGATCGCCCGGACCGACGTGGAGTGTAGGTACTTCGAACACTACCTTAGGCTTGGAGGCGCAGAGCACTGATATATTCGTAGTTACCCCTTCCAAGCCGCCTTTGGGTCGATGTTCTTCCCCCAAACTCCAATGCCAGAGACCGTACAGATGCTCTGCCCAGATGATGGCCTGTTCAGTCCCGATATTCAACAGCGGAGAAGAGGTTTGCCTAACTGGTTCTTCCTGAATATCCACGCAAAAATAGTTGGTACATCTCCGAAGTATGCCGAATGTAAGATATGCTTTTCTAGAAATGTTCCAGATGATACATCAGGAATCTGGCTATCTGGGCGGAGACCTACTTATATTTGGTCCAACATTCTGTTTCATTCTAATGAGTTCTCTATCCCTGTCGTCCCTGTCGTTCCAATATCTATTCCTCACACTACCCCTATCCTCGCTTCTACCTACAATCTACTATGACCACTACCCGTCTGGGTAGCTGGAGAGCTAGAAATATCCGCCAGAATTGCGAAATTGTATACCCGGAGATGACAGCTAATGATATCTAGTGTACGAGGGGCATCCATCAGAAGCAATAGTCCGGCGCAATGTGCCAGCCTTAAAACACGCCTTAGATTGTAACATGTCTTTGTCGGAGTTGGCTACACTCGATGCGTTCGGCAATACCTCTCTGAATCATCTACTGGCCTGGCCGGAGGGCTTCAGGCTTGTGCTCGATAGATTTGGCAGAGGAGTGTTTGATGCATCCGGCGACGCCCTCACGCTGGACTATGCATTGTTTTGGAGTGGTCGTATTTGTACCAGTGAGCGATCAACTTTGTGCCAGAGTGACTGCTCATGTACGAATGGACTTCGGCTCATTATGAGCTCTGACGTTGAATGTATTGCTAAAGCCACAAGCGGAATTCTTTGGATGGTTTCCGTACTACACGCATCCAAAAGAGCTCGCGAAATGGTCATTGGGCGCCTTAAGGATGCAAGACAGGAGTTGAAAGAGTTCGCTCTTCTGCTTTTGGCGCCTGAAGAAATTGAGAAATGGGACCTCCGGTGCTCCAAAGTCCTGGACCACCACACAGGCAGTGTGATTACCGCACTCAAACGAAGGGGACATGTTGTTCCGCGTCCGCTGGCAACCCATCCAGAATCTATGAAAGACGAACTATGGTCAGTCTATCTCAGTCTGGCTTGTTATCGTTTAGACGCAGCGCCGGTGGCAGAAACATTCTATCGACATGGTTTCTATGATGTAGACTTGCCAGACTCAAGCGGCTACACCCCGATAGCGTATGCGTTCAACCCCGGATATGTAGCTTGGTTGATTCAACATGGAGCAAAGCTCCATCTTCGTATTCCGAAGACAGTTGAAGGGCATGTCGTCGCGCACGACCTGTCCGCACACATGATTGGATTGTTTGAGTCAACGACTGCGCAAGCATTCAAGACGATATTTAGATCTATGTGTGAACACTGGTATCTTGATGCATGTGTCTGTGGTTGTTCAAGAGGAGGATGCAACCCATTTACGGGTACGTGGATGAGACTGTTCCGCCGGATCATTCCCACCGACCAACATAAATCACCAGCGCATCTCCAGTCAACAGCTGAAAATATCTGCAGAATTACAGCCAAAGTTGAGTCAATAAAAATGGACTCAGTAGTATTTAGCTTAGCTTGTTTGCGGGCATGCACGTTTGAACTGCTGCCTTTAGCACACACGTGCTGCCGCAGCTACCATGAGTACGGTGAGTTGAGTGTTCAGACACACGATATAGAAAACAGACTTGAGATAAGGGATGAGGACGCTTTGGAACTCCACAGGCTAGAGGCTCTGATTGAAGAGTTTGAGAAAGAGTTTGCCAAAATGGGATCTTCTCTGACCACGTTGATGCAAACATATTGGTCAGAACGAATGGGTACTGTGCTCCGCGAGCTTCAGGATCACCGACTCAGCGAAGACGAGATTCAGAACATTGAGATGTTGGGTGTGTGTCTCCAGACCCAAGATCAAACGAGCAGGGAGGACGAAGTCAAGGACGATCTTTCTCAACTGGATTATTGGTACCGAAAGCTTGACGCTTTAGTTTAACGACAGGTTATGTGGTACCGCTTTTATTCTTGTGCTGCAACACATGGCTATCAGAACGTGAACCGATCTGAAGAGATGTAACCTTCATCCATTGGTATTGTCTCTCTCTCCATCTGTTCCGGAGGTGCAGTTGATTTGCAGGAGGTTGTTATCCAAATTCTTGCACTCATACACAGGAGGCTTTCCGCTCGGCACGGTGACTGTGACGTTTTCGGCGCGAATGTTGCTGCAACGCTGCATGATCAGGTATTAAGTCAGTGCCTATCCGAGACTGTGATGTAAATGCTCAATGATCTGGGTTAACTTACGTCTGGGGCACTGCAAACTAATGTCCCGGCCTGGGGGTCAAGCTTTGCTGAGGTCGTGCCGTAAATGTTCTTGAGCGTGATATCGGTGATGGTCAGGTTGGCCTTTGGAGAAATCCTGGGTTAGCACGTAACTTCAAGCATACGTCAATGCAAGTAAATGAAGCTTACCGGGTGCTCTTCGCAAAGAGTCTGGTTCTTCTGGCCATAGCATTGGGTGATTGTAATGGCACGATCATTGTTGATGTTCTTGAACAGATCATACGTAACGTTCCTCACACGACCGAGACCACCACCTCCGTTGAGGAGAGTCTGGAAGGATGACTCAATTCCTGGCCAAACCTTGATGCGAGCAGCATCGCTAGCGTCAGCCATGGTGATGTTGTAGATGTAGAGGTTCTCGACAATATCGGTCTCGCCCTTGTATTGGCCGAGAGATCCAACGCTGATGCCGTGTGACCCGGTGCAGTCAAGGTTCTGGATGATAACGTTCGTGCTGTTCGGCTTGAAAGACACGCAGTCTAGAGAAGATCAGTCGCGTCCCCAAATTGCAGTAACCTGAGAACCCACCGTCGGTGTTGATGATGTACGAGTCCTGGATGACAACTCGGTCGGAGCGATACGTGTCCCATCCGTCTGAGTTGGCGATCTTGGTGCCGTTTGTGCTCTGTATGGATGTCAGAAACGCAGATAGAACTGTGAAAGGTTTGCCACAAACCTCTGCTCTCAGATCCATGTTGCTGATGAGAACATCAGTACTGTTCGCAATCAGGTTGAACCACTGCATACGTCAGTCATTAGTGTTTAAGAGAGAACATCGTTTGAGATCTTACGTTCGGCGGATTGCGCATGCGAAGGTGGGACATCGTGGCTCCCTTCACTCCCTCGAAAGAGAACAACATGGGCCTCAGAAGCTAGGACAGAACAAAGTCAGCCAAATGACTACTGAAATAATTCGCCATACTTCAAGCAACTACTTACACTGCTGTTCGTCTGGATCGCGACCCAGTAAGCTTGGCCACGACCATCAATGACAGACTGATCATTGCTCAAATCACCGTAGATGTTGATGTCCTCTCCTCCAAGCTTCCAGAAGACTGACTGGTTCTGGAAGGCGAACTTGAAGCTGTTTTCGGCCCAGTAATAAGGGTCATCGTTGAACTCAATGGACCCGGTGATGACCACGTCAATGTGCTTCAAGAAGGTGAGATCCAGGGGCGAGCCGATGAGGTAGGACTTGTCGAAGACAACGGTGCCACCATCGTTGCACTTCTTGAAGGCGTCCAAGATCTTGGGCGCATCGTCTCGCTTCTCTCCGCAGCCAGGCTTGACGTAGCAGTACCGGCCCTTCTCTCTGGGAGGAGAGTGAGGCATGTCCCGTCCGGTGTTGTAGGGAGCTGGCACAACATGAGGACGTTCGGGAAGGGTCGGCTTCGGCGAGGCAACTGATGCGGCGGAAGATACCGGTAGCAGGGCAGAGGCCGCGGCCAGAAGGCTCAGTGCAAGAGAACGCATGGCTAGAACCGTTCAGCAACAGATGGGGAGATTGAGGTGAACAACGCGACGACCACCACGCATCGCTCATTATTCGTCTGAAGTTTCCATCTTCATATATAACAATTACTCGGAAATTATCCAACTCTAATTAGGTTTAGGTAAGGTACCACGCCCAGAGAATCATAACATCATCTGTTAATGTTCAGCGCAACGATACGCGGAAGATTTGTGGGGTCATGTAAAGGTTGTTCGGTTCTGTCGGTGAAAATTCTCGCGGAGCCAGGGGCAATCTTTCCTGCTCAATCTTCCGCCCACGGCGACCTGCTCCCCCGTTCTGACTGTTGGTCGAACTGGTTAAAATGCCCTGCGGCTGAATTCTGGGACCACGCGGCCCCGCATGTCCAACCCCGCGCGATGGGGGAGTGAGATGCGGAGAAGATTACTGAGGGGGTATGGATAAGTATGTGCCCACTGAGGGTTTTCCGCTTGATGAGCCGAAGTTAGTGTTGAGGGGTGTTCATGAAGCATCCTTCCCAAGC